GGGGGGGGTAAAGTCTTCCAAGCACTGCAATTCAGGAGTCATTCTGCAGCGCCGAGCAAGCCACCACCATGAGACCACGGAGTCCAGCCTGCCCTGCAATCCTAGACAGGTGCTTCGAAACCCCAGGAGGCAGCTGCTCCCACAGACACAGTCACATTTCCCTCGACAACACTTATGCAAAAAGCAGGTCTTCCCTATCAACCCTTTGCTCTAAAATCTCTGTATGCCCTGTGTTAGTATTAGTTAGGTCCTGGTGAAAAGGTCCAGTTACAAAAGCAAGTATGAGGGATAACAAGGGTCTAAGGAGAGGGGAGGAGGTGAAGTAGTGTTAGAAGGTGGGAAATGAGAGGGCTTGGGATGTAGCACATGAGGCAGAGAGGAGGACTGGGAGCCAAGTTCAAATTGAAAAGAGCTTGGAAAAGTTCAAACAAGGAGGAGTGGGGAGCCAGAGAGCAGCAGGATCATACCTCTCAGCTTTCTGAAACAGAAATCAGGGACAAAGCTAAAAAACACAAGGACAGAAGATGGAGATCAGGGATTCTATGCAATAAAAGGGGAAAAAAGCATTCCAGATCGTCTCAGGGGTCAGTAGGTTTTAGTGAACACGAGCTAGAGTCATGAAAGGGATTACATGCAGCAAGTGGCTTGGGTTAGGCTTTCACCGTGCATTTGGGATGCCTGTTCCTCACTCTTTAGCCTTTAAATGGCAGTGAATGCAGATGATGTTATTTTCTAGTATTTATCCTAAAACTGCAATGCACACACATGCAGGCTTGCTCACACACTGACCCTGATTCATCACTGCATTAGTCCAGGTTCACACTTGCATAACCCTACTGATCGCAGGGGGCTAACACACATTGCTGAAGGTTGCAGCGGTCACTTGGGACCCCGAATTTACAAAACACCAATTCTCTAGAAACGTCAGCGATTGGCTGCTCTCACTAGCATAAAGCATTAAGATCCTGATGTTGCAAGACAGCATCAGACTGGGCATGCCATTTGCTTTGTAAAACACTTCTTCCCCCACCATCTCCTTCATAAATTAGGCCCTATATTTTGCAATTTAGAAGCAGAAAGAATTCAGCTGAGGATAGTCATTGACCAACAGACACACACACAAATCCAGGTGATGCTTGCGCATCAGGGGCAGTTGAGTGGTATGGATGACATCAGGCAGACAAGCGTCACTCCACTGTTTACAAGGTACCTTAGTGCCATGTCTTCCTGGCAGCCCTGGCATGCCTCTCTCCCCCTGGAAGCAGAGCAAGAAAGACAGAGAAAGAGAGCAAGAGACACGAGATGAGTCTTCCCAGGGCTCTGTGAGGAGTGCCCAGGGCACAGGAAGCCTCCCGGGTGAGATGGGGCATAACCCATTTTCCCCACCTGACTCTCACCAAGCTGATTGCCCTAGCCAGGGCCATTTCCCACCAGCAGTACCTCTCAAGCCTGTTGCATACAGCAAGACTGACTCTGCTGGAGTGCCACAGCAACAGTGCTGGGAACAAAGACAGTTTCTGTGTCCTGCTATTACATTGCCATGGTGTTCTGTAGGGTGTAGAGAGTCGTTCAGTCTGCAGTGACTATAGGATGAACAAACTTATCTGGAGAAATAGAGAATCCAAGGGTTGTCTTGTATTGTTAGCCTGAATTTTATCTGGTGGTAAATGGAAAATAAACCATCTTTAGACAGTCTGCTTACTGCTGTTACTTTGTTCTGGGTGTTTAGTCCTTGCTTGGAAGCAGGGATATATGTATATGCTATTTTTAAAAGCACTTTTTTTAATTGTGGCATCCCATGAACTATATTTTGTAAAATACTGTCTAACACCATAATATACATGACCTAGGCAGTGTGAGCACCTCCTACCCCATGCAGGATACTTAACTATGGTATTTTCAGCTGTAATAAAAATAAAACAATAATTATGAATGCTTTGTACTGGAGAAGTGGGGACCGCTCTCTGTCCCTCCTTCTCGTGGCCAGCAGGTTGAGGGAGGTGATTCTGCCCCTCTACTCTGCTCTGGTGAGACCCTACCTGCAGTACTGCGTCCAGCTCTGGAGCCCTCAGCATAAGAAAGACACGGACCTGTTGGAGCGGGTCCAGAAGAGGGCCACGAAAATGATCAGGGGGATGGAACACCTCTCCTATGAAGAAAGGCTGAGAGACTTGGGGTTGTTCAGCCTAGAGAAGAGAAGGCTTCAGGGAGACCTGATTGCAGCCTATCAGTACTTAAAGGGGGCTTATAAAAAAGATGGGGGCAAACTTTTTAGCAGGCCCTGTTGCGACAGGACAAGGGAGGATGGCTTTAAACTAAAGAGGGGTAGATTGAGACTAGATATAAGGAAGAAATTTTTTACGCTGAGGGTGGTGAAACGCTGGCACAGGTTGCCCAGAGAGGTGGTGGCTGCCCCATCCCTGGAGACATTCAAGGTCAGGTTGGACAGGTCTCTGAGCAACCCAATCTAGTTGAGGATGCCCCTGCCCACGGCAGGGGGGGTGGACTAGTTGACCTTTAGAGGTCCCTTCCAACCCAAACTATTCTATGATTCTATGATTCTCAACTGCACTCCCAGTTTTGTTTTTTTTTCTTAAATGAGACCAAGCAGACAAGACCAATGCTGTCTGCTGGGAGACACCCACACTGCTCACAGAGTCTGCCCCCACAGAGCAGCTGTGCATGTGAAACTAATTCCCCATCCCAGACTTTCCTGGAAGAAACTGCCTGCCTGAAGAGCTGTTTAATTATTTAGCCCTGCAAAAGCAAAGCCACCTCAGTGAGAGGGAGCAAGGCAGCCCCTTACAGGGGGCAAGTTACAGAGCAATCACGCTACTCTGCGTTTTCTGATGACGGCCTCAGCTCGCTTGCACAGCCCCCACTGGCACGGCAGGATCACACAGGCACTAGAGCTAATTAGAGAGCAGGAGCAACAAACATGACACTGCACCATTAGACAGCAGAAAGAAACCCCAGAGCCAAAGCCAGAGAATAAGCAGGAAAACCAACTCTGCAGAACATCTTTATACCCTACATATTTGAAAGCCATTGTAATACAGTAAGTACCCACTGGGCTGATCCCTTTGTGATCCCCAGTGCCCTTTGGGCTGCACAGCGTGCCATAGCCAAGCAGCAGCAGCCCACCAAAACCAGTACTGGAATGGTGCAGCCAAGCCAGAAGCTGGGAAATATCACCAAAGGCAGATATGAAAGGCAAAACGCCCAGCACAGGTCCCCAGCAGGCTCCAGGAAGGCAGTCAGCCTCCCAGCTCTCTCAAGCATCACACTAATTCAGGAAATACCTTCATGCTCCCCAGTCTCTCTGGAAGAATTAGGCTATGCCTCTCCCCTCCAGCACAGAGGAGACCCTCATACTCTCTCCCCTTACACCTGGTGCAAGCAGCTTTATACCCATTCAGTGCCAATCATGACAGAGCATGTGCCATGCTGATCAGCTTGTTAGCAGTACTGGCTCCAGGCTGCCAATTAAAACAGAGACCCTTCCTTTTTTGCTCCTTGCTATGAAAAGCAGATTATGAGGAGGTTATTGAGCAAGACTGTGGGCAGTTTTCTTTATTGCTCTTTCCTCAGAGCATGAGAAAAAGCCTCATCCTAAAGACCTTTCAAAAAAAAGAAAGAAAACATCAGTAAAGCTGAATGTGATGGCTAGGCTGGGGAGCAGTGAGTCAAATGCTTATTCAAATGACCCAGGTGATCACACTTGCTGGTTGTCTAATAACCTTCACGGGACACAGATGTAGGCCTCAATATGATCAAAGTACAAATGATGGCCACAGAAGAAAATAGCTAAAAGAGAATTTACATTGTGCTGCATCTGTCACTGGGTGGGGAGAGGTTATTAAATGAACAAGGGGTCTGTGTGAAACCAGCAAGCCTCTTCAGGCCTGAAATGTTCCTCACTGCCAGCAAAAGCAGTGATATGCTATGCAAAATTGGTCACTACAGCTAAACTATGAATCACAGTGTTTGTCCTGGGCCCCTCAAAGCAAAGAGAAGGTAGCCCAGGTAATTGGATCCAAAGGTGGAAGCATCAAAAGCCTTCCAGAGTCCCAAATGACCCTCCTAGGTGGGAGGACGACAGAAAGAAGCAATTTCCAAAGACAACAAATGCATGTGCTGTGCGGATGTTCAGGACCTGCTACTGGGTGATGTCTGGCTGCTGATTTAAGGCTACCTCTGCACTTCCATTTCAATTCCTCTGAGCAAAGAAGAAAGGAAGTTGAGAGAAAAGTGATCCTGACAATAACAAATGAAAGTCTGTGTGCGAAAGAAGAGGCTGCTATGGGACTGGGGAGATGGCCCTTTGGAGCTGCAATTTAGTACCACAAAAAGCACAGCGGGTTTCATCTCCATTCTTTATGAAGTGGGATGAATAAGAGCCCAAATAGCTAGAGCATGTCTTCAGGGTCACCCTGAGTCATTCCTCTCCAACACAGAACAGAGGAGGCCTGTGGATGACCCTGAGACATCACTGGAAGACTTGGAGACTTCCCCTTTGCCAGAGCCCAAATCAAGGGCTGATCAGGCCTTGTACATGGGTGCAAGCAGAGCAGGTGTCTGCTAGCAGTGAAACGTGGGAGTATAAGCAGGGGTGGAACACAGCCTCTCCTTCCAGCCTTTTCTCCCACCCAGGCCACGCTCCAACTTCAGTCCTCCAGTTCAGCTTAATGGGAGAAAACCTGGCTGTTGAGACAGCAGTAAACTCCTAGCCCCCAAAACACATTCGTTCTGGGTGCAATTCTGCTTTCATTTACACGGGCACAAACCAGAAGCAATGCCTTTGTGCTTGATGGAATTACATTGATGTGAAAATGGACACGGCAGAACCTTTGGACTTTACATGCACTGCATTATTTCTGAGGAGGTATTGTTTTCTTGTAGGAGGACAATTGCTGCTGTTCTATTCAACTATTAACCCAGAGCCTGCATTCCCAAAGAACATTTCTTTAAACTTGATGTAACACATCCATGTTAAGTTCTAAAGGGGCCTTTTCTCCCTTCAAATAGTAATCCACCCAGATGGAAAAAATATAAAAAGTGTATATGCTGCATGATAAATGAGATGCATGCCACATACTAAATACTTGAAATGTATGTGTCACTGTTAATGCCTTTCAAAATATTACAGGACCAGTCTTTTCTCATGATGTTTAAGATGTATGGCATGACACAGTATGCTCTGACCGTCATGAACACTTGCCAATGTTGTAATGCACAGTCTACATTGAGTAATATACTTTAAATATATGGGTACAGTAAATTTCAATCAAATAGATAACATCTGGGCATAGACCATATAAGCCTGTAAAAAGTGTCCAGAAACAGACAGAAAAGCCTGGTGCCAAACCTCAGCCTGTGTTGCAGAGTTTGAGTGGATTTGATGCGTCAGCTAACCAGATTTTATGAGGAAACCCCAACCCAGCCCATCAAATGGAGAGATGTAACAGATCTTTAGCAAGCTTCGTAGTCAGAGAAATGCCTTTGGTAAGAATCGAATTCCACCAAATGGAATTGCTTTTATTGCCTGAGCTTGGAGTGTCTGTCTGTGGTTAATCAGAGCACAGATGTGTACTCCATTAAATACCCCACAGAGCTGCCTCTGACCCAACTTCCTTTTACAACCCATCAGCCCAAGGAGCAGTATCTCCCAGATGATCTACCACGGTAGAAAACCGTATTTCTCATGCCTACCTTTATGCCAGCGTCCCCTTTTTCACCCTGCCCAGCAAAGAACAGAGAGGGAGGAAACACAGAGAGGGACAGTGAACATGAAATCGAGCAAGCAGTACAATCGTAACAGCGAGGGCCAAAGAGAAAGTAGCCGAAGTAGGGAGTGTGCGATAAATGCAACCCCAGGCCTCCAGAGAGAACTGGCTCCTGATAATAACACGGTACCAACCTGAACTCTGGCTGCAGCCCGCCCACCCCTCCCTGGGAATGCAAGGCAGTTTATGTTGCTGGAGTGGATGCTGGAGGTCGCCCGTACTAATGCTTCCTACATGTTTTGGGTGTAGATAAACCATCAATCCATTTCATGGCCCGGAATACCCTCATTCTCCCATGCAAAAGCCTCTAAAGGCTAGGTCAGTTTTATTCTTTAACAGGGGCTTGTGCTGGCCTGC